ATATATATATATATATATAAGTCTTGCTACCGAATGGATGGTCGTTGATATATTCACCATGACAGTACCAAAATGTCTATATAATAAAGAAATCCATAGGATCTCAAATCATGATACAATTTGAATCGTATATCCCCATCGAATCACGAATTGACGCTATTGGCTCATCGAACTTTGAGTAGATTTGATTGGCTCTTAAAAGTATAGTCAGCCAATCATCCGAACTTCCAGCGTGATTCAATATTGATAACAAAGCCATGCGAATTTCGGAAATATATAGCGAATTCACAATTATAGGACAATACCTCTCTGAGGAGGCCGAGGGGGGGCTGGTTGTCGAGCACCATGAGCCGGTTACCGTCGGCTTTGTCCACCGTGAACAGCCGGTCGTTCTGGTCGTAGCATGTAAAGTACGCGTGCGCGACCTGCACGGACGGACAGCACATGGCCAGCACCACGCTCGGTTGGTCCTTGGAAAACACATGCGCTTCCCCCGCCATGCCGCAGATCCGACTGTGCGCCGCCGACGCGCCGACTGTCGACAGAGACGTGTCGAGCAACGCACTCACAGTGTCCACTACCACGTCTTCATACCCTTCGCTTGGCACCAACCACACAAAGTCCTAATCATTTTTCCATTAAATATGACTATATACTACAACCATCCAAACAATTCCATGTCCGCATCGACATATTGAAATATATATATATATATATATATATCGCAAAACACACATGTATATACTATAAATTTATATAGATAGATATACATATTTCGCAAAACACACATATATATATATCGCAAAAATACGCACTAGTATATTTTTATAAATATGTCGCAAAAACACACATGTACATGTCTATATATATATATATCGACTAGTATGTCGCAAAAACAAATATATATCTCCTCCGAATACAACTCAATGAACAAAGCAAGTATCACAATAATACCCGCGCTTATGATGTACAAGGGACGATCCATATTCAAAACGAGTATAATCACACATATTGTCGATTTGATAGTACACATTTGGGGAGGGGGTCGCGCCGACCAAACCGATCCACAATCGATCTGATTGGTTGAATTTCATTGAGAAATGGATTTTTATTGGCTAATAATTTTGAGCTCATCTGAAGTAGCCAATCAAATCGATTTAAATTCCAACGAGAAACCACAACACAATGAAAATTCACTTGAAAGCACAATACGTACGGGACTATCCGTCGGTCCAAGATGCAGTTTGCGGATGGCGTCGTTCACGGCCGCCCTCGTTTCATCCTTGCCCGTGGACGCAGGATTTACGGATGAGAAGGCGGCGGCGGCGGTGGCAAAGTTGCCGTCGGGGTCCCACAGCCCCCACAGGCTCAGCACGTGGGTCCTCCGCACGAACGCTTCTTCTTGAAAGAGCACTGCATCTTGACCGAGCACGCCGATGCTGTGCCCGCAGAACACGACGGCCGGATTCAGGTGCTGGAGTGTGTCGACGATCGCGGGCGGGTCGTGGTCGCACGAGTACTGGACAAACACAAAATGGGGGGGCTGTTGAAGCATGCACACGAGCTTTTCCCAGGCGTCTGTGACAGCGTGCGCAGTGTCGGCGGATGCGCTCATGGCGGTACCGACGCGGACGGTGGACGGCGGCAGGGGCGGCATCGGGCCAACCGACGGCTGTCCGTGCACGGTACTGCCTCGATGCGGCATCGAATACAGTGGACGATGGTGATTGTGATGATTCGGTGGTGGTGGCTCGTGCATGGAATGAATCACGTCGTTGTAGTCGAAATCGTCGACGGATGGCTGCAGGGTCGTGTTGGACCGGGACAGTCGCATGCCGCCGCCGCCGCCCGCGGGACCAGTCATGGGCGCCGTGGGCATCAAGTGGCTGCGCGCACGCAACGAACATGGTGTGCACAGTCGGGTTTGGAGTTCTCCGGCATCTTGGATTGGAATCGACCACTTGCGGCTGCAATAGTGGCAAATCACCTATTCAGTCCACGTGAGATAATCATTATCGTACGTAGTAGTACTAGGTGACAACGACTAGTACTCGGGTGTCGAAGGTATATATAATGTATGTATACATTGTCACATCGATAATATTCGAAATGGAGCCCTGAGCAAAATCACTTGTTTTTAGAGAATGGATTCAAGAACCGCCTAAGCCAATGAAATCACGTTCTAGTGTAATTTCTGCCAATCCAAACGTTTGACCCCTCCGCATTGGGCAACACCATAAATATATATATATACTAATTGTGTATAGTATAGTTTGTACAAGCTTAAATTGCATCAAACGGATTCGACTGGGATTTGGCGAAATTCCAAATTTGGGTGAAATGCCCAATAGTTGTGTTTATATTCTAACTGTAAACTGGAGAATGAATCGACACAACCAACATATGTACCGAAGAATGTATCGACGGAAGATTTTAGCCAATCCGATTGCAGGAAACCATCATCAACGTCAAATTAGTGTGATACCAATCACCACAGGACACTGTTTTACATACAAAATGTCAGTACAGACAGAGAATCGATCAATAGATTTGGCGATTCAGCACACAAAAGTCCACATTTTGGGTAAAAGTACAATATATATATATATATATATATTCACGGGTGACCAACATTGGTGACGATACAAGATGGACACTGTGTACCACCTACCTCTCCACAGGCGCGGCAGTGGTGCCGCGATCGCACCAACGTAAACAACGACTCGCACACGGCACAGTACTGGCGGGACCTAGTAATACTAGTGAATACATACACACTCAAGCCCCCACGGAGGAGATAGGACTAGTAGTACTACTAGTAGTAGTCGACAAGTACCTGTCGTCCACCCACTTGTGTCGGGGCAAGATTTTGATGGTTTGGAACAGCGTGTTGAATAGCACTTCGCGCATGTTGACGAGGCGGTCGACGTACGCGGCGATCACACGCTCGGCACTGACGCCAAAGCTCCGAGGAAAGTCCAAGATGTACATGATCGAAACTTCATGGGTCATGCAAAGGTCATCGACTGCCGAGACGACGAACGCGCCTTTGCGGATGGCGGCGCGCTTGCATTTCACCGGACACAACTTCTTCAGCTCGTCCTAGGCATGTATGAATGATGATGCATTGTCGTGGGGACGACAGATACAAGGGGATGTCTGTTCATCACCTCGGCTGAATCCACGCTCTGCATGTACCCAAAGCTGCGCGGACGGCCATGCCACTAGATGCATGTGAGGGATCGAAAGGTAGATGGAATGAGTGAGGGAGAGAGGGGGAGATGGGAGGACGTACCGTTTCGTATTCGACGTATTCTTCAAAGACAAAGTCGTTCGGTGTGCCAAGACGCCCCGTGAGACGGTTCGTGAGCAAATGACTGCCGTGCCATTTGATGGAATGCCGCGGAAACGACGCGGCAAAGTCGGCGGGGTCGATGTTGTGGCTGTTTTCGGGACCTTGTTGCAACACGGCGCATTGAAACAGTTTTGGGAACACGCGCTTCTCTACGCGCATGTACTCTTGCGTCGTCGTGGGCGCAAGGACATTCACAATGGACTCGAGCATCGCCTTGACGTCGCACGACAGTCGAAAGCTCACACGGGTCGCGTGCATGTCGTGTGTGTACTCGTCCAGTCGATGGATCTTAACATCCTTGACCTTCTTGTAGAACTGCCAGTCCATGTGTCTCGGGTCCTTGATCTGTGTCGGCACCTTGAGGTGGATGGCTTCGAGTGCTTGCCGGGCTCGGATGCCAACATCAAACTTGAACGAGCTCGTCCCATCAAAGGAGCTTGGGCGGCATGGTTCCACGGACTCAAAGTCGAGTTCGTCCACAGCAAATCGGTCCATGGAGGTATCCAGCAGAGGCGGCGACACAGCGGCACGTAGATACTTCGGCGATCTGGTGTGGGCTGTTGCTACCCGTGGCACTTCCAGCAGTGGGGTAATGAAAAGTGCGGGAAAGAGCACGCACTTCAGAGGGATCAATTGGGAAAATGCCCATTGAATCCTCTGAAAGGCATGCATTTCTTTTTTTTAGCTTGGGTTTTTGCCCCTTTCCACTGATTTTTACAGGTCCGTCTCGGCAAAGTAGGCAACTGCCTGACCATACCGAACAAGCATATGGACTCGTTTGAACAAGGCGTGGCATGTTCCTACCACTCGTCGTAGCATCGTCGAGACTACGTAGTCCATCATAGAGCTCGTTGTTGAGTCCATCTCGTCCGCTATCCCCTCACGAAATCATGGTGTCGAGCGCACTTGAACGAGTTTGCAACGTTAGCGTGACATGCACAGCTGGTAATGGGTTTACTGTTCTTGGGACCCACTCGTCAAAATCTCACTCGCCGTGGTTTGGTTTTACTTGTATTGAGTATACTATGGGGTGGGTACATTAGGAGGAGTGGGATCGGGCGTGATCACATCATCTAGCAAGGCCAGGTCGGCACCTCTGCATCTCCGTCAGACAAACCATCCTCTTCTACCAACACTATGTATCCGTTCATCTCATGGTGACATTTCGCAGGTTTGGCGAAGAATCAACACTTATAATTTCGAGCCATTTGATTGGTCCGTGGGGATCTTTCACAGACACAAGAAGCTTTTTTACACATGAACCCTCGAAAAACAAATCAAATGGTTTTGGCATGTTGAAGTATTACAGGTGGCGTTTGTGATTGGACACTCACTTGGGCGGCAGCGGAGTTGACGTCGTGGTGGCTGTCCTGGTGATCTTGGATGGCACGGCTTTGCGGTAGCTCGTGGACTTGGTAGCCAAGGTCGACGGATGGTGTTTACGTTGGCAGTTGAAGCAGGCGCGGGCAAGCCACGCCGACTTGTTTTGGATCGTGTGGTTGCGAAGGTCGAAGCTCACGGTGATGCCCACGGCGCGGTACGGATCGACCGCCGCCAATTCTTGGAACTTTTGTCGAGCTTTGTCGTCAAAGCGGTGGCCTTGCGCATGCATGCGTGAAATCCACGTCGTCATGGCAGCGACCACGTCTTCTGTCGTAGCCAGTGGTTCCTTGTTGATCGACTTGGTCGTAGTAGCACGAGGATTAGTAGTAGTAGCAGTAGCAGTAGTAGCAGTTGTGCGCGGTGGTGGCTTGGATGCCGCGTCGTTGTGGTTGTTGGAAGTGGTGTGCATATGTATCTGCACCGACTGGTTTTGAATCTCCAACGCGGTGGGGGCATCGTACAAGTAGCGCCGCTTCGGCTGTACTACATGTACCTCAGCGTCGCCTTTGGTTGACAGCTTTGTGGCACTGGTGGCTTCCACGTCATCTAATGACGCACTGCTCGACGAGGTCACGCTCTCGCCGTCCGCAAGTAGGCTCGCCGACATCGACGGCACGGCCTCTGGCTCGTCACTGCACGGATGCAGTTGGGCATGGGGGGGTTGCATTCGATCATCCTCGTGGGTAGGACCGGCGGGCTCATCGTCGTCGTCGAGGTGGGGCTCATGGTCTTGGCCATCGAATTGCGACTGTTGGGGCTGTACTTGGTTTAAACTGACACACGTGGCCACATGATCGTTGTCGTCATCGTCGTCGTGGGTTAAGCTGTCGAGGAACGGCTGAAAGCGCAACTCGAGGGCGGCATCATACAAGTCGTCCTCGCGCGACGTACTGGGTGACGATGTGGTGGTGGACAGGTACTGATCTACCTCGTGCGTCGACGGTATCGGCAAAGCCTTGCGTGGTAGCGATGACAAAGAAGCTGGATGGATGTGGGCAGAAGGGCTCGCCTTGGGAGCTCCATCATCATGACGATCGTAGCAGCTCTCGTGATGTTGATGGCTAAATGCAAAGAGGGGTCGTTGTGGCTGGCCGCCATGATGGGGGTGCCCGTCGTCAACGTCGTCCAGCTGCTTGTGGTGTTGTAGGTCGACGGAAAAGATGTCTTTGGAGAACGTATAATTGGTTTCGGGGCGGTGGCTACGATTGTACGTGGGAGACGCCGAAGGTTCACCACCAGACAACAAGTCGAATGGAAGCAGGGTCGAGGTGGCGAAATGCCGACACAGGAACGAAGTGTCGAGAAGGGTCTCCTCGTGGGCGATGCCAAAGTCGCCGCCGTCTGGGGGTGATGCAAACAAGAGCGGCGACGGCGCCGACGACCGCCGCGCGTCGGCTGGGGTCGACTGCGATGGAAACGAGTCCGAAGCAAGGTCCTCGTCGTCGTAGTAGTAGCAGTCGTCTGGATGCATGATGTGGTCATGCTGGTAGAGGTGCTGCGGTGGAGATGCATACCCGCGTGACGACGTCGGCGATACCGGACACTCCATTTGATTCATGGACGGAGGAAGGCCCACATGCTGCGGGGTGGCAGGTACGTGGCGGTGGGAAGAGGTCGCGGCGTACGGAGGCTGAAGGGGAGTGAACGAGTTGCCGTAATAATGCTGCAGAGGGGGCATGTACAACGGCGTTGCTGGGTGACGTACCGCTGATACGTATGGCGGAGCATGGGGATGCTCGTGGTGAGGATGATGGCTGTGGTACTGCATGGGGTACGAAGCTGCTGGCTGGACAAACGCATTCAATGGTGGCATTTGCAAGAGGTACAGCACAGACTGGAGAACATTGGACTCGACGTACTGAGCTTGTGTGAGCTGCTGGTATACATCTGCGACGAATGTGAGCGCGGACAAGAGGTCGACGGGTAAGGCCTGGGTGTGAGCGAGGCTGTGGACGACATGCGGAAGGTACGCGTCGTCGTACATGTGAGGATGCTGCTTGGTGGGGAAGGCGAGTTGAAGACTCTGCGCCAGATGCATGCATTGAAGCAGCACATCGTCGCGCTCGAGCGTCGCTTGGTTCATCGGCCGAAGCGTTGGCGTTCAACGACCCGCCTGGCAAAAAAGTGTACCTTAACGTGAAAACGTCGAAAGTGTTACAAAACTCCAATCCGAATACGAACCCAGATCCTAGCTGATTATCCGGACCGAACAATTAAATGACACAGGCTTCCTCTGAACCTTAATGAACTATGGACGGGAAATGTACTGTATCACACCTCTTCGTACATTCCCTTAGTGTTTATCACTGCACGCATTCCATCAAACATGCCTTGAGAAGAAGAGGGATATAGATATATATTCGTAGTCTTAGGTATACTCAGCGTAATAGGATAGCAAGCATTGAGTTGGATTGATAGTTATGGAGTGGAGTGAGGCTTGGGTTATTCCCTTCCTTTTAGTACCGTACGTACTACGTTGTACTCGTACGTTAATGTTTAATGTACGATATATGGTGGAGGCCACTTCAACTTGACAAGAGAGGAGGGAGGGAGGTACAGGATCAGCGTCGAGTGTCGAATAAGTCCGTCGATGACTTTCCCGACGATGGCCGCATTAGGGCTGGCCACACTGGGCTGGAGCGTAGGGCGAGTACATATTTCACTGAACACCCGCCACGAGGACCCACGACCGGCTCCACGACCATCCTACATCACAGTCAGGGCACATCGAGCAGGAAGATCTAGCGAACACCCCGTACCATGCCATCAACGAAGTTTCGATCGGTGGTTCACTGCACAATGGTTACCGAAAGGCAAAGCTTTCTCGTGCCGGCTCGTTATATCGCTTGATCACATCGCGGGACTGCCCTTTCAAGTCGACGATGCTGCATGGAGTGTCCACGTATCTCATATCCGCTTCAAACCGCTCCAACACCTAATCAACATGTCAATTCAGATGATACGTGTGACTTTGTCCTAACTAGTTACGAATGATATTCATTATGTATACATTCATAATTTAGTACACCTCCAGCATAGGTAGCTAGCTAGCTAGCTACACACGTTCGGTTCACCATTACATATTAATACCAGAGTGGGAGATGCCGCCGCCAAGTGAAGTTCGCCGGTGAGCACCATCCAAAATATTTGAGCCCTGACCTGAAAGTCGCTGCCTTCGTAGTACCGCCATGCGGCGGCTTCCACAACGAGGAGATCGTCGTGCCAGGATTTGGGTATGCATGACGTGACGTTGGTCATCTGCTGCATGAGGCCGTGCTCACAAGGACGCTGGGCAAGAGGCGGTACTGCTGGTCGACGATGGCGGCTGCGGTGTCGCGCCGCGCGACGGGGTTCGCTGGAAAGTTGAGCATCTTTCATTGGGCGTCACCGAGGGCGAAACGCGTTCACCTTCTTTGGTTTCAATCGGCAGTATCGACGCCGTCATCGTCGAGGAGACGCACCGCCGCAGTGTCCTCCACGACACTTTCGTAGGTGTCGGCCCCAGCCAGAGAGTCCGCGTAAGGCTCGAGGCTTGCACCACATACAGCGCCAACGTTATGTTGTGAATTGTATTTGAGGTGCGTCGTAGGAGAATTGGAACTGTGATACGGTACTCTATGGGTTTCACCATTACGAAATCTGATACCAGTATTCTGAGCACCGGCCATATACTATTAATACAGTAGTACCGGTGAAGTGGGTAAACCAATGTCCTTTTGATTGGACAAAATTTGGTTTGCTTCAACTTGATTGGTGGGTTTTTGTGAGTCTGTAGACTAAGGCTTCGACACTTCTCGACTGGAGGCTGCGGGAAATGATCAACTTGACAATCCTCAAACGATATGGCAGTACTTTGTTCATCATCACCATACAGCACGCTAGAATCAAATCGAGTTCAGCCTGAGGAAGAAAGCAACGTGCACTGCTTTTAATTGCCATTTTGAAGGATTGGCATCGTCCTCAATCGATTGCGCTGAGTTGCTAGACTCCACACAAAACAGTTGCATAACTTTTAAAAATATGACATTTAAATGTTTGAAAATTATAACATAACATATCAATGTATGCTATAATAATGTAATAATGTAAATTATAGCTCAATAATTGTTTGTCATCTTTCACGCTATATTTAAAGTTTTCGCCAAAATGCTGTCTTTAATGTGCTGCTTCATGGCTCAGAGATCACCGATCAACGCAAGAACATGGTAGCATGTACAACATCATTGATACTACGTAATAAAGCGGCATGGACGGTGTTACGATGCTTATTGCGGGGTATAATCACACCCAAAGTAAGCTATATTTCAGTTTTTTGGCATGTTTGAGGTCACTGTACGCATGCTAAATAAGTGCAATTGCCACACATTACATCTCGTTATATAGCCCGCAGCCATGTCTTCAGTTTTCATATTAAATGTATCACGCCCAGACAAGCCGTTGCTGAGCAATTCAACGACAAAGACATGTACTTTCTCGATAGGTAACATTGTCATAAATTATGACAACATTGATGTTAACTTATATTAACTTGATGCTATATTTCGATGTTATTTTTTTAAATTATGACATACTTATTTTATATTAAAAATACGTAGCGGTATTCTCGTGGAATACAGTGGATACTTTTCCAAAAAGCATCGTAACCTGCGGCCAAAATTTGAAGTCCATACTACGTATACGTTTTGAATAGCGGAATTGAAAACAATGTCGCCTTGCACCAATACTCGACTCCTTCGTCTAACGTTATACATACGTTTATCCTCGCTTATGTCGCCGAGGATGGCTATGTTCGTTATTTCCCGCAGCCTCCTGTATTTGTGGACCAGTTTTATAACATTACACTATTTTGAGCGTAATGTTATCCGTAGTACCCGGAGTAACGTAGATGGCCCGAAAATAGCTTTTTTCGATTTCTCAACAACTACATATGTATGACGATTTGGACGAACTTTCAATTACACCGATAAAGAAGATTGAATGTTCTACATGATACGCGCAAAATTGGAAGCATTTGATGTACTGTATGCTTCAGCAAGTGATTGCTGGTCGAAGTCAAAATTGTGAGTTTTGAAAAGTTACATAGATGGCAAACCTTGAATGCACTATCCATCGAAACAAGGGAATGATGTTTCTATTGTCGATATGAACGTATTCACTAGAGTTTATATGTAAGTTGAATAATTTTCGTGATGCAAAGTGTTTCCGGCCATTCTCTCATATCGGTCAATCTATTGACCATATACAATAGTACCAGTATTATTTTACTACTGTATACCATATACAGTAAGTATTTTTATTTTTTTTACTACTGTATATGGTCAATAGATTGTCCGATATGAGAGATCTCGAATCTTGTACTCAAAGTGCCAAAGCACTAATGTTAGTAAAATAATACTAACATGTTAGTAAAATAATACTAACATGTTAGTAAAATAATACTAACATGTTAGTAAAATAATACTAACATGTTAGTAAAATAATTATAACATGTTAGTAAAATAATACTAACATTAGTGCTTTGGCACTTTGAGTACAAGATTCGAGATGTCAGGTTAACGTTACCCCCCAGCTCATGCGTGTAGTTCACACGCCAAATTTCCCACTCGCTTGACTTGCCGACGGCAACGTTACGATTCTGTTGCCACCCACCAGGTTTACTTGAAACCACATGCTGTCCCAACAATCGTGTGATGACAGCATTCACCCCACTACGACCGCCGCATATTTTGACTTTGCGGTGGGATGCGCAGGAAAACTTTATACAACCAACGCATGATATAACTAACGTTACAAATGTTTCCCAATTTTGCGCGATTCGTAAAACTGATATCACAAATACAAATCTCGCCGCGAAATTTCGCAACCAAACGCAGAAAACACAAAGTAAAACGAAAAAATTAAATGCAGCCAATCAGCGACAAGCATTTTCACATTGATGGCCAATGGGAACGATTCGTGATCGGTTTGATGCGATTTCATTCGTACCACCAACTCAATGATACTTTGACGTACTATTTTCTACTTTGTGAGTCCGCATCGCTATAAGTTCACATGAACACGTAAGTTTTTGAGTGGCATTGCACAGTGTTATGGTGTTTCGAGTAACACTATTGCACACACACATTATTTATTGGTGTCGACGTCTTGAGTTGGGCGAAAACTCATGCTTCCGTGGGGGCAGACGGCGGGATGAGGCCGTTCATCACGTCTTCGAAGTGGCGCAGGATGTGGGACGAGTGCCGAATGAGCCCGTCGATGACTTTCTCGACGACGGCCACGTCGGGGCTGGTCACGCCCGGCTGGAGCGTCGGGGGAGTGCACTTGTTAAAGTACTTGACTGAACACCCGCCCAAGTCGTCAACTGGTTCCACGACAATCCTACGTCTCCCAGTCAATCAGTCCCAAGTTTACACACTCTCATATATATATATACTATATACCTCGCCATTTCGTTTGCAATAAACTCCTTTGTGAGCGGCACGTGCTCGTCGTGCAGGATGCTCCTGTATGTGACCGCCAAACCATGTAAGTATATATATATATATTGACAGTGCAGCGTTAGGGTACATAAATATTGTCAAGTCGATTCGAAATTGGAGTGGGGTGCTCAATCGAATGAGCAGAATCACCAAATCCACATGCAATCGATCGACCAATCAAAACACAGAACACGAATCAAGTAGTCAATCAAATCCACTCTTCGACCAATTCAAGATCATCGAATTATTAGTGTGTGAATAAAATTAGTGTGAGATTGAACCCTTTTTATTTACAAAAGTCAGTACAAATCATCGATCGATAGATTCTGGCGAATATCAGCCTAAAAGTCAACCAAATTTTGGGTAAAAATGGACAATAGGTACCGAAAGATAAAGATCTCCCGTGCTGGCTCCATGTATCGCTTGACTACATCGCGGCACTGGCCGTCCAGATCGACGATACGGCACGGCGTGTCCATGTACATCATATCCTCCCCAAATCGTTCGAGTACCTAAATATTATCTTCATCACATGCTGTGGCATTCAGCTTGAAGTATATATATATATATATATATATATATTAATATGTAGTATGAGACGACATGAATATTTCAATGCACGATATATACTATGTAAACGTTCATGCTGCACAGTAATGCACTACTTACTGCAGGGTTATATTGCTATCATACTGTGAAAACCCAGCCAATATGTACGATAAGAGAACCATGATAGTACGTAGAAGTCTACATTAACGGTATGGGGATACACACTGTGGCGCAGCAAATGATACATCTTAGGTTCAGTATCACATATTAATACCAGAGTAGGGGACGCCGCAGCCAAGTGAAGTTCGCCGGTGAGCACCATCCAAAACATTTGAGCCCACAGCTGAAAGTCGCTGCCTTCGTAGTACCGACACGCGGCGGCTTCCACGACGAGGAGATCGTCGTGCCAGGATTTGGGTATGCATGACGTGACGTTGGTCGTCTGCTGCATGAGGCCCGTGCTCACAAGGACGCTGGGCAAGAGGCGGTACTGCTGGTCGACGATGGTGGCTGCGGTGTCGCGCCGCGCGACGGGGCTCGCTGGCAAGTTGAGCATCTTCCATTGGGCGTCACCGAGGGTCGGGATCATCGACAGGCGCGGTCGTTTCTTCAGAATCGCATGCAACGCATTCCCAAACTCGATTTGGTCCTGCAACGCTGCGCGCCATGCGGCGTTGTCTTGGACGGCGCGGTCTTTCTCGGCCCGGAGCTGCGTCGCGAGGATTTTCCACGGCGTCAAGTCGGACGCGAACTTGGCGTGTTTGTCTTGGAGCCGCTCGAGGTCCGTCTCCATTTCACGCACTTTCGACCGCAAGTACGTCAGTTCCTCGCGCTGTCGCTTCCGAAACGCGTTCACCTTCTTTGGTTTTACGGCGGCAGTATCGACGCTGTCGTCGTCATGGAGACGCGCCGCCGTAGTGTCCTCCACGATACCTTCGTCGTAGTCGTCGTCTAGAAAGTCCATCGCATCAGTCAGAGAGTCCGCGGAAGGCTTGAGGCAGCCAGCCGCTTCCACCACGAATCGTTCCAACGTCATGTTGTCAATTGCTACTTTGGAAGGACAATTGAAAAGTTACCCTTCCAATTTGGACTATGATTGGATAAAAGTATGGCCATATCGTTATCGGATTGGCTGCTTTTGATTGATTTATTGGCACTCGATGGTAGCGTATACTAGTAGTATACTATTATTAATATTAATAATAGTATACATTATATATATAACGTTATACATTATATACCGTGCGTTTGGGCAAAGCGAATATTTCGTTTTCAAACACTGGTCAAATTTAGCTCATTCTTTTCTTAATCGCTTCGTCTGTGAATTAAAGATGATGAATCCCCAGTTTTGAAGGCTAAATATGAATGGTGATAAACTTATGTGCCTTCGCGACATGGGGAATCCAAGCATTTGCTTGGGTCGGATTGGCACGTATTGAAAATAGAATAGCTCGAAATTTTAAAAACTTGCAAAGAGAAAATCCACTACGGTAGT